CTTCCCGGGAAGCAGGGCTTCAGTATGCACAGCCACTGCTCCGGAAGACAAAATGTCGTTAAAAGCCCAAATGTCCCCCCCTTCCTCCTCCTTTTCCCTTAGCTTTTATATCTGAGCTGATGCCATCTGGTACAGAGTATCCCTTTGGTCAGTTTGGGTCAGGTGTCTTGGCTATGTCCCCTCCCAAGATCTTGCCCCCTCCCAGCCCACTGGTGGTGGCAGTGGTGGAATGTTGGAGGCACAGCCTTGGTCTCCCACCTGCAAGGCAGGAGAAAAAATTCCCTGAGCAGGGCTAGTGGCTGATCAAAGGCCTGCCTCGTTTATTGCCGCACATCCCCTCTCTTGGGCAAAGCGCTGCCTGGCAGGTCCGTAGCCTCACCTGCCCCACCGCGCTGGCCCTGCCGTGCCGTTCATGCACAGCTTCCTGCGCTGCGCAGCCAGCACCTCCTGTGCGCTATTTCACCTGATAGAAAGGTGACACTAAACTCCCCAACAGAAAGAAGGGAACCAAACTGCGTTAACTGTGGCATAGACCCTTTATTAGTTCAACTTTTATACAAAGTGTACTTCAAAGTCATACAAATAACGTTAATTGTTTCTTTTACAGACTAGAGATTAAGGTCTGTTAAGCACTGTTTTGTCTTTGTGTATATAAAGGTAGAAAATGTAAGTAGATCGGCAGTGAACCATAATGCTGGAAGACAGTTCGACGTTTATTTGCTCATAGAAAGTTGCATAGAATTGTAGGTCTTTATAAAGGCATCTGTCGATGTGGCAAAGTCTCCCTGACCCACCGCACGCCAGCCGATGCGCCATGTGGCAGCAAGGCAAGGCCAGCGCTGCTCCTGTGAAACCACCCCGCGCTCCTCCGTAGCGGGGCTGTGGAAGAGCACCACGCCAGAAGCATCCACGAGGACAGCACCTGGAAAACGTGATTTGCAAGGCCACCCACTTCCCTCGCGGTTAGGAACTGTTTGCCACCTGGGCTCTATTAACACGCTAAACTTCTTAAAACCACCTAAGAACGTCTGAGATAAAGAAACCCACTTTTGGCCTGTCAAAATACTTCACTTTATTAGGTGTTCCTTTTCGACTATAACTCTTGTATACATGTGCTATTAAATTAATTTATCTCATAGGAGACTGTTAATCTACTACTAAAATCATGCTAATTAAAACCTGCCACCTTACTGAGGGAGTCCAGCAAAATTGTTCCTTGCCCCTCCTGCACCTGACTCAGACGCACGATTCTCAGTTCCAGGCCTTTTGCTGAATCTCGTCTGAACCTGTCAGAAGCCCTCCCCCAAAATCACTGCTCCCGTTCCGAATAAAGTAACCCCGGCAGCGACGGTCCATACTGGCCGCCACCACCACCAATTTCTTGCCTTGAGGGGAGTGCAGGCAAACAGGGAACGCAGCTTTAATGCTGAAGGAAAGGGAGGAAGCAGTATTTTGTTTTGAATTTGACTTCTTAAGTGGAGAACTAGTTCACGTGGATTTGTAATTGGCCTCTTGGGTCTTCAGAATAAATATGTAAATGTTGGTTTTTCTTTCAAAGACAAACTCACCCTGCGCTTTAAAATCTTAATTACTCTAAATATGTCCTTACTGTTATTCTTTTTTCACCCAACTTAATGCAGGATAAGGATTTGCTCAACCCCCTGTGACACCTTGCAATCTCACATACGTTACTTAACAGCCTACTCGCCACGTTTTGTTTGCGAATCTCCCAGTTTTGGTACTATTACATTTGGTACCCACTTACTGGTGGCTGAAGATGTAACCTCCTTTTAATTGTAGCGCTGTGTTAATTGTGGCAGTTCACACCGGTAAGCCAGCTGGGGCCCAGGCGGGCACTGCTGCTCGCGGGCCGAGGGAGGACGCTCGGACCCCGCTTACTCCTTCTCTCCACCCTCCCCGCTCCAGAGTCTTTGCTCTCCCTTTTCCAGCTGCAAAGGGCTTTTAAGAAGCAACGAAAAATACAACTCCTTGCACAGTTTCTGGTCCACCTGAGGAACCGCTCAGCTTGCGCTCAGCACAGTTCTGCCTGTGAGGGGATGGGATTGATGGAAGCGCCCTTGCGTATGAGAACACCAACACCAGCCATTCAGTGCCAGAACCCTCCCTAATGCACTTGTAGCGGCATTGCTCCTATAATCCTAAGGTATGATCAGGACCAGGGAAGCAGCATTTCCAAGTGTCTGCTCTTACACCAAGTCCACTGCAGTATTTGGACCCTTAGTTTTTATAAAAAGGATGAACAGATAATTTGAAAGAAAGAAAGAAAAAAGAAAACATCCTTGCTTCTGCCAGTGGTTAAGAGCCGTGTAATACATGAAGCTGGAAAAGCTAAAACTAGACAAAATACCAACATGATGGGCTATTTGATTTTAGCCTAGTTCATTTTAAGATGGGTAAAACGATGACCTTACTTAAGCATACGCTGGCCTGTGAGTGGTTCATTAGCGGAGGAAAATCTTAAGCGCGGAACAGTTACCAACACTGAGGAATGGGATTGAGCATGAAGTAACGGGAGAGAGCTGATGCCATTTGCTGGATCGCGCCCATTCGCAAGGGCTCCTTCGCTGCTCAAGGAAACCCAAGCTAACAGGTCACTGCAGCAGCCGGTGGGCCCAAAGCGTTGCCACATTTCAACACTGGAAGTTCGGACTCTCCAGAGCTGGCAGCCAGAAGCCACACAGATTGCGCAGCAGGAAGGCCGTCCTTGCCACCCAGGACGGGCTCTCTCGTGCAGTTTCATGCCTGTCACTTGGGGGACAGAGAGCAGACCAAATGCTAAGTAAATGTTAATAAACCCTATTTCCTATACTAGAAGGAATTTGGTCATAAATAAGTGGGTGAAATTCCTGAAACGAGCAAATGCAAAGATCCCATTATGGAGAAAGCACAGAGCTAACAACTTGCTTTTTTCTGTGGTCAGAATGGGAAAGACTGGGTGACCATTACTGCCCTCCAACTTGGGAAAGGTGATCCAGCTCATCCGAGTTCTATAGGATTTTGAAGGAATTTTCTTCTTCCACACGAAGCGAAGTAGATAAAGTCACATCACAGAACCACACAGTTACAGTACACAGAAAAGCACATCCTGAAAATATATCGATTCTAATAGCGTGAAATCTGGTGTTGCCAAGAAGCTTCAAAATTAGTGTGAACGTGGAAACAGACACCGAGCACAGACACCAACAGCTTGCTTATTTAGAACCAAAGATAATAAAAGCACTCTCACTTTCTACCGACAGCTTTAATATGCACACTGATGTACATGAATTGACTACTGAGTGTTTAGTGTGAATGAAGGTCTTCCCAAATTATAGTTACTGTTTTACTGTTTCAGATTGTTAAATATGGATGCTGAAGAGATGCCCTGTGTCATGAGTTGGTGAGACTGCTATAGCGACCTAAATACTCCCAATGATTGTAATTTAATCTAGAATATAAAGACTGAAAACAAGTATTTGGATATAACTCTTCCTATGAATGTTTTCCTTCAGAAAAAAAAAAAACCCTCCAGCCTTTTACAGAAGAGTTATTTCTGTCAGTTTTTAAATGCACAAGACCTGAACGTGTGCACATCTGCTTCAGTGGTACTAAAGAAACAGCAAGTTAGAAGGGTTTATTAATGCCTGAAAGTAAGACAGCTCTGACTGCAAGCCTTCATGATGCAGAGTATGCGCTAAAGAAAGTTGCTGCCTCTCTCTTTGGTTATGCTGTTAGCTGTAAAAGCATTGCTCTGAGCAACAGCAAGGCATGCACAGTAATGTTTTTGCTTTCTAAAGTATAAAATTAGCTTATTCAGACTGTTGCACCTGCACACATTGTCCTGAAAGTTCAAAACTGATTTAGCACATTCAGTAAACAGGAGGCCAGGTTCTCCCCTAGTTACTCCACTGAAGAGCTGCAACAGAGGACAAAATATGGCTTAATTGTAGCACTGAAACCACCATGAACAGGCTGTGTGAGAAGTTTAGAGCAAAGTCTTTGAACAGATTTCTCATGCAGTCCCTACAGATAAATGCCCCCTTCAGTATTTGTGGGTCTGTTAAAAAATCCTAGCTCTCACACCGTTGCAAACTTGAGTACTAATAAAAATATCCCAAGTCCAAGTGACTGTGCAAGTATTCGTCTGTTGTGGATATTGATGTCCAAGTAACCTGAAACCTGCCAAAAGAAAATTAACGATACTCAAGGTATTTATATATGCTTTAAAGATACTGAGTACCGAATGGGCTGGTCTTAAGGCCAGAAGAAATAGTTGAAACTTTCACATAGGAAAGCTTCAAAATGTTAAATAAAATGCAGATCCCCTCCCACAAACTCCAAGTTACTCACACATCTATTTAAAAGGTTTTAGATGACTCTGTTACCTCGGGCTTTGCTATTAGTCTCTTAAGTGCGTTATCAGCCTGGGGAATTAGAGAAGCTCTAAAGTAAAAGTCAACCTCACCTGAAGCTGTTACAGAGCAGTAGAATTACAATTTAAAGTGCTTTCTTTCCACCTTTGAAATAGACCTTCTACAGACTATAAACAAACAAAATCCATTAAATTTCTATTAATGACTTGCTAATTCTATTACTGACTTTTCCCCAAATTAAGTACATCCCAAATATCATTACTGATGATCACAAGTTCCTTCTGTTTCAAGTCTAAGCACAAACTAGACTTTAAACGGACTGTAACGGACCGGGAAGGAAACATCCTTTAAGCATCTTTGACTTCAAAAGGCTCTAGCTTTCAGTGTTCCCCAAGAGAAAATTCCCCGGTTTGTTTTTATGCCCCAAGAGGAAATAAAGTGGTAATCTAGATTTAAAAAGAAAGCGAGTAAATCAGAAATGATGTACAGTTTACCAATCATTCATAGACACTAGAAAAGTTTGCCAGATGGTCACAGAAATGAGACAAAAATGGTTTTTGTGCTTACTTCTCTTTAGATAACTGTAACTTCCCTAGGTTTTCGTTTTACGCTCTCTAGTCGTGCTAGAGGGCGGAAATTTGTTGGCTTCCTGCTTCCTTCTGTAGTAGTTAATCGACAGTCCTTCTGCAGCCCCCTCAGCAGCTCCATTAATTCCCGTTTTTCCAGCTCTGCCTGCTCCAGCTCTTGACGGTGCTGTCTCTCTGCAGCCATCAGTGAGCGTACATCTGACATCATCCGTGACATCTGACTCTGAAAAGCAAATGCAAATTTACCGCAAGAAACAAACTCTTTTCTAGTGATGGTGCTGTGAAGTTGAATTGCCCATGCATGGAGGGTAATGGATTATAAAGAATAATCAACACTGAAATAATTTTTTGATAGCAGAACAGATGTAAACAATTTGAGACACAAGCCAGGCATTCGCCCTCTGAGATGGTCTTGCCTCAAGGAATCCAATACAGTTTTCCTAAAAGTGCAAAAACTTTCTTATAAAGTATAATAAAAGACAGTGGATTTATCCAGTTGCTGCTTAAATTCTGTACTTCAAGACAGCAACCAAAATAAGGTTTTGGTTATGTTCAGATACATTCTTCAAGGATTTAACATCAAATCCAGTAAAAATAGAAATGGATGTGCTTCATAGTTTACATTTTTATGATATAATAAGAACTGGATAAATGAAAAGATAAGACTCCCTTGCTTCTTACTTGAGTAAGCCTATAGTGCAACTTTCGAACCTTTTGCCCACAGCTGAATCAGAGTGTAAACACCACTGCCTGCAGTAGGGCTGTGTCAGCACTGGATTGAGCCACTTTGGACAGCACTAAAAAAGGAGCTGGATATTTAATTACACCCGATTTGTATGCCCTATGTTTAGACACTGAAAATGAGTTTCAGACTGATTTGTTGACATGTTATGTACGCCCAGAACAATGCAGCCCTGGTACAGGTTAGCTCCAAATGAATTTGAAGGAGAAAACCCACATGGATACAGCACTCGGCCTGCTTCTCAGAGCTGATAAACCTAGGCAAATCATTGTGCTAACACCCGTTTTGCTTCCCATACTTAATGTAATTCTCATCTGTATGAGACCAGATTTACCGAACAAGAGACTACTACTAAGAAAAGCAAAAAGCTAGACCGTTAGGAGAGAAAAAAAAAAGAAAACTAAATGATTGTATTTACCTTTAGTTCTTCAATTTCATTTTGCAGAATACTCTCTTTTTGGACCATATGCCTTCTCTGTGAATCTAACCTTGACTCCATCTCATGTTTTGCCTCCTCCACTCTGCAGATCATTTCTGACCTAAAAAGTTTATTTCTCCTTGTTAGGTCTTGAAAGTATGGAAAAAAAAATGCTTTTCAAATTCCAGAAAGTCTTCCTGCAGCCAAACAGCCCAATCTGATTCTCATCATACTCTACAGGACACCTCTCTAAAGGCATGATATTACTATTTATTAATTTAAATAAAACTAGCATAAAAATATGCACTGTGCCCAGGGAGCACTAAAGTGACCACGGACAGCCTATCATGTTCCCGAATTAATTGTATCACATTCCTGAAATAATTCTATGAGGTCAAGATCACGTGTTTATGACTTCAAATGATTTACTGCCTTTTATTTATAGTATGTGCTTGCTTAGTATTACTAAGCACAAGTAGTCAAGATGTGAATACTATTGTATTGCTAAACATGTACTTTTATGGTAGACACTAAACGATAGTGTGCAGCAAATTATTATAACCTAATTTCCCACACAGATGGACAGCCAAAACTGTTACTACATCAGCCTTTTGAGTTCAGAAACTAGGCAGCAGAATCCCTTGTGTCTCAATGAGTTTAAAACAGGTTTGAGCCTGACTTCACAGCAATGTTCAACACCACGAGACTCAGACAGAGAGCTGAAAGATAGAAACAGGAAGGAGCATGGAAAAAAAAACAATCCAGCTGGAACATCATGGAAAGGGAAAGCTACAGAAATATATGTAAGAGGAAAAAAAGGATGCTGGTAAGAGGAGTCATATTCACCAACTGCTATTAATCTGCCAGAATTTTAATCAAAATTGAAAATCCTCAGAGGTTTAATCTACCAGTCTGTACCTGCCAAAAAATTATTATCCTGAGATTTTTATCTTCAGGATTTGTAAAATAATATAAGCTAAACATAATTATTAAATAATGTCACTTTGGGTCTATGTCAGGCCAACGGAAAAATGAAATTGCCAACTTCGTTCCAGTTCTTGTTAGGTATTTTGTCATTTTACACAGTCAGCTTGGAGTTCAACTGCAAGCAATAGTATTTTAGGATTTACGATAACTTGGACAGAAAAATAACAGCAAAAAGATCGAAACAGTAAGAATTTAAAGTCTATGCTGACACATAATAATACTCTGACCCATTAGTATCAAGTAATTAACAGACTATTTAACACATACCAGAATCCAGTGCTAGTATTTGAGGTGCTTTACGCAGTGATTTTAGGCCCAGACTAACACAAACATCAAAGAAACAGAAGATTTGTACCGAAGTAGTTCTAGCTCGGTTCTTAGCTCTGCCACACAATTATGCTGTGTGTCTTCCGCACTGAGAATGGTGTAACCACAACCGTTGGGGCACTCGCGGCTCCGATATTCACACACTGCCAGGTGACCATCTAAGTTACGCCGTTCAATCTGAACTGTACAACCTGAACAGGGAACAGTAAGGTAAGCCAGTCATTTACAATCAACAAAAGTGTTTTAATTAATTCCAAACAAAAATACTCAAGCAAGCAAGCTGCAATATCCCAAGCTAAGCAACTGTCTATCTGTTAAAGCAATGAAAAAAGTGATTTCTTTAGAACATGAAATGTGATAGTTGTAACAGACATAACTAGTAATAAAACACTCTTAAGAAGTCTTATTAAAATATTTATCAATTAACTGAAAATACTGAAAAACTGAAAGTAGGTGTTTTCTGTAAAGTCTTCCACCACTGGTCTGGCATTAAAGTAACTTCAGTAATGACAACACTGATGCCAAACTATGGCTCTAGCAGCTTGCCTTGCACTTCCGCCACAGACTGCAGTGACTGGAGCTGAAGAAAAATGTGTACGTGTAAAAAAAAAAAATAAAAAAATTAGGCTATCAAATTTAAGAAAAAGGGTCCAAACCCACGTAATAAGAGATGTGGGTGAGATGGAAAGTAACCTTGTTTTCCTGATCATTGGTTGATCTTGTGCGTAGCATACTAGACCACATAAATAAACAAGAACTTTTATTTATGAACATTTAATAACTGATGCAGAAGTAGAAACATTTCCACATAAATTCTACCACACGAACTTTACAAATCTGTAGTAATTAAAAGCAAAATGTAGAGAACCAAGAAATGAACACTATATAAATTATTGCTACATTTAACAATCTAAACCTGAAGTTTGCAGTCTTAATGTTTAATCTTTAAGGTGCTGTTTGCTGTAATACATACTCTAGCTCCTTGCATTTAAGACAAAAATCGATGGAAGAAAATTGGAACAATGAAGCAATGAAACGTGCCAACGAACCATACCAGAAAAGGCCTCTAAAAGAGTTTTACTAATAAATACAATGATTTGTAATTGAGGTACTCAAAATACACTCCCGAATTCTTGAGAAACAGTTCAAGAGATGTAAGAGCCCTCACACCCTGAACTCCAGACATCAGAGGTAAGGTGTGGTAACTCTATAAATGCTACTCTTTCCGTAGGAAGTAAACCAGGTGAATCTGAAACATCTGCAGGAGTCACTTACTGCTGAGAGAAATAACTTCCAGTGGAGCAATTCTAGCACCTTAATCATCTTCCTATTAATTACAATGGCAGACTTGACTATGCCCTTAGCATCGTTAATTAGAAATTAACTTTGCCTAGGAACTTATGAGATTCTGAATAAAATCAACTGGGAAGTTTTAACAGTATGCTTCTTTTTAGCAGTTATCTTTTCTTCCTCAGGAGGTATACGTTTGTTTTAAATAAAGATCGTAATGTGAACACGACAATTCTAACCAGAATTTAGCTTAAAACAATTCTCATTTCCAAGATATGTTTTTGGTAAAACCACAAGACAGAGTGAGCGGCTGCACATGCACTAGGCAACCAGCTGTTTTACAAATAAATTGTGACCCATAAGCGTTCTGTAGGTGCCATTACAAACATCAAAATGAACAGTCAACATTGAAATTCAAACCCATAACTTGTACTGCACTTGCTTTGCTTCCTGTCTATATATTCATAAATTTGAAGTCCATCATTCTCCTTCATTTTGGTTAGTTCTTGGGTAAGAAATCGTTGCTAATGATCATGATTGTCATAAATTGGTAACAAATTTTGTTCAGAAAGACTGCTGTAAAGACTAGGTCATGCTAAAGCTTTGAATTGCTGTTTGGAAATGACAGCCATTATTGCCATTCTGTTGACTGAAAGATGACAAACATGTGTTTTTCTGAATATAAAGGATTCAACTTCTTTGAATGTTACTCACCGGCATTGGAGCAAGGTATCTGACTGTATTCACACTCCCTTTCATGCCTGTCTATAGACTCCAGAGAACAAACCATTTCACAGCCATACTCTCTGTTTTTGCAATGTAGCTGAAGACGGTTTAAATCATTTTTCATATATCTATGAAAAAAAAAAAAAGAAAAAAAATTATTGAAAAATTTGTATTTTCAACTTTTGGGAAAAGAAAGTAAGATTCTAATTTCCATTAGGAAAACTTGTGAATAATCAATTTAATTTTTTTTTTTTCTTAGGATTCAAATGACCATACTGGAAAAGAATAGGCTTAAAAAAAAAATTGTTAAAGGAAAATACAGTCTCCAAAATTAAATCTGCAAATCAATTCTTTATTTTTGAATAAATTTTTAACTGTGATCTTTCACTAGCTCAGCAGATATTACCAAAACCAAACACTTAGGCTACTGGTTCATCATTTAAGTTTTAATTTGTGTTTCTAAATGTGCCAAATCAAACTGACTACAGTGAGTACAGACAAAATAATCTATAAATTAAACTCTAGGGCTCTGTCTACACTATATTTCAATTTTCCATACAATAGAATCTCCTTAGTGACAAAAATACTGGGAGTACTAATGGATTTAATTGAAAGCCTGTGGCTGAAGGTTTTAAACACAACGTAACTGTTAATCTGAGCAAGATTAGACAACGCAGGGGTTAAACAGCAAGCAGTGTCTCTACTTGAAACTCTGTGTGCTGGCAATAGCAGGAATTAATAGAATGGAATAGTTCAGTTGGAAAGGACCTACAACGATCATCTAGTCCAATTATGGAAGACACTTGTGAAAACAGCCTGCTTTACATGACAAGGTGGCTCAAGACAGATATTCTTACGGCTAAAGACCTTTTTAAAAAAGGATTTGAAGGCGAGAAGTCTGGTTCATATCTATAGGAATTATTCATTAAAAACCTGGTTCATATCTATAGGAATTATTCATTACAAACCCCTCTACAGTACCTAGGTAAGACTGAAAAGAAAAACAAAAGATTTAGTGTTTAGTGACTGTTCTTGTCAGAAGTTGCTTCGCCTGCTTTCTCTAAAAAAGTATGGGAAAGTTTTGGTGCTGTAGAAGACGTTCAGAATAACATCCAGACAGATATCTAGAATCAGCACATGGAGAACAAGCTAAGTGGTGTTTCCATTTTGAAATGTTAATACCTTGGAAGTTAGTTATAATAAACAGAAAATGCTAATACTTTCATGCAAGCGATCAGTTTCTGCCATAGCCATATTCAGAAAGACAATCTGAGTGACAGAAAATGACAAGATACGAAGCTGTGCAAGCGAAGGTGAGAAATCCTAAATTCACGTACTTTCAACACACAGCAAGATTATTGTATACCTGTAGAGAGGTCGTAACAAAGATACATCAATCATTTGTCTGTCTTCAGGGCAGTTGCTGTGATGAACGAGCCATCCATGTATACAAGTGGTACAGAAAGCATGTTCACAAGGAGCCTGTAACGGATCTTCTAACACATCACGGCAGATGGAGCATAACAGCCCTTCATTAACGTAGCCAACGAAACGCTCAATATCATAACCCATGCTCTCCACAGCTTCAACCTATTAAAACAACGTAAAGAAATAAAGCAGTCTTTGTCCTGAATCCATATGGCTAGATCCACAAAAAGGCCCGGAAACAATACTAGAAACACAGAGAACTTAACATGAATACAGAACTTCACAGGTGAGAATGCAAACATTTACATACTTTGGAGACTTTAAGAATTTGAGGATTGTACTGCTGGATGTCAGAAGCCCAATTTTATATCAAGACTCTGAATTCTGAAAGCAGAGACTTCAGCAGATACGTGAGTCACGTTTTTTCTGAACTCCGTTATTAAATATATTTCTAGCAGCCACTGAAACATACAGTTGCTATTTACTTGAATTTTACCTGAAGCAGAAACATCATAGAAGTTCAAATGCAAATGTTTGCTTTCCATTTTAATGCTTTTTATATAATGCCTAACAGACTTACAAACCAGCGTCTTTACAGACAACAGCTGTGGTACCTTCAGACAGCAGATTTTGTATTTATGAACTGCACATCACTTAACGTCTTGCTTTCATACTGAAAAAAAGGCTAAGATTCTCTACTCACTGTAGACTTCCATTCCAGAGGGAACAGCATGAAATCGCCACATGCCTAGAGAAATATGTAATATTTGGGAGCCAAAATGGCAGCTAACCCTGAAATCATGAGGAGCTACCGTCTTCTCCTACGGGGTCCATTTTATAAAAATGAGTACCCTTTGAATGGATTTGGAAGCTTTTTGAAGAAGAACTAACAGGAATCTGCCTTCATCAAAACCCTACCATGAAAAGCCTAGTAGCATTTGGTAAGACTCCACAGAACTCATTTAAAAGACAATGTTTTAGACCTTGCATTCCTCCTTAACATACAAAATTAATTTCGTAATCCCACTGAAACTCATGAAAGAATTTATTAATTATGAGGTTTTCTAAATAAAACAGAAAAGGAAGATATCCTACCTTTTTAGATTTTACTACATATATACGTAGTTTGACCAAGCAATTCAGAAACAGTTTTCTGATCAGCAAGACATGTAACACTTCCCTCCTTCAGCTTCTTTTCACTGCTTTATTATGGCTATGACAGAAATTAGAAAGAAGAAGGCTCAGTAGTGTTTCCTAAGTTACTAAGTCCTGTGTCTCACCCAGCTGGCTGCTTGCATAGATGCTGTCCTAACAGCCTATTAAAACAAAGCTTTCCAAA